TCACTTTCTTGGGGCCAGGGATTTAGCTCAGTGGTGCTGCCACTTGTCTTGCAAGTGCAAGGTCCCTAGTTTGATCCCCAGTACAAACAAAACAAAAATCACTTTCTTGCTGCATGCTGACTTATTAAAATCATTAATGTTCACTATTATTTCCCAATTCAAAAGAAACATTTCAGTCTTTATCTTAACAGTCTTTTTGACATGTTCACACTTCCACTTTTGTAACTCTATCATGTTCTTTCTTTTGTAGTCTGTGCTTCCATGGATCTTCTAGAATTTTCTGTTTTCCTCTTCCCCAGCCTTCCCCTCAAATATTAGATTTCCCAGGACTCCATCCTTGATCCACAATTTAACTCATCCTATACACTTTCCAAAATGGTCATCATTTTCACTAGTACTTTCTGCTGACACCACTCAGCATGGCAGTTCTGTACAAGGTTTGGGCTCATCTCTTCTGGTGCCTGTGGAACACTTTCATCTGGCATCCCACAGGCTTACTAAACTCAATATGTCAAAATAGTTCCTAAGCCTTCTGCTGAAACATGGTCATTTATTATTCATTTATTCTTGTTCCTACAGGTAACCTTCATAAAATGAGTAAAGATATTTTTTAAAAAGTATAAACCTTATGGCCTAAGAAAATAGAACAGACAACAGGAACTGAGACAGATTAAACTTTTGTTGTTGTGAGATGAAAAAGTAAACAAATGGTTTTCAAGGAATAAACACAGACTATAAATGAAAAATAGGCTAGTTAGTTTACATTTCAGGACTTTAGAAAGGCTTACAAATAGAAAGTACCAAAAACTGCAGAAGGCAAACATAAAGGAGGAAGGCTAAATGTAGAGGGACTGGTGAAAGTCTATGACAACATACTGGTCCCCAGATACCCCAGGACTTTAGAAAGGCTTACAAATAAAAAGTACCAAAAACTGCAGAAGGCAAACATAAAGAAGGAAGGCTAAATGTAGAGGGACTGGTGAAAGTCTATGACAACATACTGGTCCCCAGATACCCTCTCCCACGCTAATATTGCTAACATAAGAGGAAGAGAAGAATGTTTCATCAAAAATTTCACCAGAGACACTCTAGACTTGCAAATATGAGAAACAGCAAGGAAAGATTCTCTACTGACAACTAAGAGACAGTCTACACACTAATATACCTTGAAACACCCATCACCAAGAAAGCTGGCAACAAGAACTATCTACCTGCATCCTCACCCTATGCAGGAGACCAAATCCGCAGTAACTGAATCTTCTTAGGGAAAAAATTTAAAGAGACAGACAGACATGTGGGGTCCTCCCGTGAAATGTCTTGGAATCCACCAATCCACTCTAACTGCTAAAAGGTCCCTTTCACATGATGAAGCTTCCAACCAGTGTAAGTTTCTCACACTTATATCAACAGACTACAAGGAACCACAGGAAAGTCTCCAACTTGGAAAAAATCCAAAAAGAACTACATGAAAGAAAACAAAACAAAAATGCCTCAGAAGAAACAGCAATTCAGCAGCAAAATAACTCTTTGGAAAAAAAATACACACACACACACAAACACACACACACACACACACACACACATATATCCTTAAGACAAGAGAAGACATTACATTCAGTAAACAACAGAATGCCGTTTTTAAAGGCATTTAGAATAACCCCCAAAGAGGTGGTTATTAATTCAATGAAGTCTATAAAACTGTACAAGAGATTGCAACTACAGCAAGCTACTTGCCTCAGCACTGAGCAATACTTGCACAATAGGGCCAACACTAGATATTAATTTAAGCAAAAAACTGTAACAATTTAGACAAAATGTGAGGTTAAAAAAAGTTGAAAGATAATATGAACAAAAGTGCTAAATTCTCACCCTATTGAAAAAGAATGAATAGACAGTACTTCAAATTAGTAAGAAGTACAACTCTAAAGCCAATAAAACAAGTAGACTGAGATTACTCAGAAATTTGGAGGTAAATACTAGAATTTAACAGATGATGAGACAACCTCTCAGAGATGAAGATGGGGAGGGTAAGAAAACTAACAATTTTGAACTATGAGATTTATATTACTTGGCTTTTTCACTTATTTATTTACTGGCATAAATTATACTAAAAGATTAAATATTTACTATTATCTTCTAAACTTGTTCTTCCTTTTTTATTTTCTGTCTTGTCTGGAAATACCCCTTTGCAATCAAGTCCTGAAGACAGAAAATCGGGACTTGATCCAGTCTTATCTACTTCTTGTTGTCTTCTCATAGCCAATTTACTAACTGAATCTCCAAGATGTTTTTCAAATCCACTTTTTCCTTTCTAATCCTACTGCCATGACCAAATCCAGATCCTTGTCATCACTTGCCTTGACTATTGCCTATCTGCAAACTAGCTTCCACCTTTGACCTTAACTCCCTAAAGCAACATTTCCATTTGCCTCCTTTGCTGCTATCTCACTTATTAGGGTCAATGGATTTATATCATTTTCAAATGTGGTATACAGCAACAGATAACCACTAAAGAGGAAAGAGGTAAGAAATGGGGAAAAGGCACAATGGATTTTTTAAAGAAGACAGCTTAATCTGGTAA